TGATTCAGACACACGAGGTTTGTCTCAATTCAGGCTGCATCCTTCAAAGGCTGCATTTGAAGGCCGAGTGCGCCACAGCAGTGCGACGAAGGCCGTCCCGTTTCATGAAGACTCCTTCAAATGTGGCTGACGAATGCGTCCTTCTTTTCCACAGCTGTGAAGGATCCATCAGCTGGAGTTTAACCTGCCTACAATCTGACTGAAAAGACGGATTTATCAGGAGCTGAGGATCCTATTTTTAATGCTGCAGCTCACGCCAACAGCTCAAAGACACTTAACTCAGCTAGAACTTTGTTTGGCCCTCAAGAGGTTAGCTGGACCATGCATGTCTGTCCTACATAAGTAATACATTGGGAATATAATACAAGCTCTTAAGAAATAAAAAAAATATAGCGACACTACACAATTGTCATTAATGACACACAAAGCACCTGAAATGGGATGTTAAATGACTATAAAGACACTGTCCATCATGTTATGTCCTTTTACACCAAATAAACAATGTAAATATGTCATGTTAATAATAAAGACAAGCTGCTGATGAGAACTGGGCTTTAACTGTGGCACCGCTGTTGCAAAGCACACAAATTACAATCCAACACAATCCAAATCCTAAGACATTTATGTACCGATTCCTCCCAGGGGTGTATCTCATTCACAATCTGGTGGTGGTTCACAATGTGGTAGAACGGTGCCGAAGCCTCACGTAGGAAGGCTTTCAGAAAAACAGGCCTGTGAAACATTCTTTGCATGTTAAACCAGATGTTATTTTGCTTGACTTCTGTTTTTTGCTTATTTTGTTATCGAAAACAACCACCAGAGGTCTCCCAACAATGAACAGTGGTAATTATACTTTAATTACTTCAATTCATTATGGTTGTAACTGTTGGAAACGCAAGTTCATCTCTTTTATCTCAAACTGGAGACAATAAGAAGACTCCAAAATGAGTCATTAAAAACGAACATGATCCCCAGGAGGGAGTGAATGCTCTTTCAATGTCCTGTATTTATTGGAATTATTCAAAGTCAGAAAATATATTTGCTGTAAATAATCAACATACCATTGTGTATACAGATTCAGAGTTTAGCTTCCCGCATAAATCAAATTGGAAAATTTGGAAATTATTAAAGAAAATCTGTAAATCGTGTGAAGGAAATCATACCTCCAAAACGATGATTGTAGAGTTAAACATAAAATGTGAGTATTGTTTGCTTTCTACAAGAGATTGGCATGTGATTGATGCTGTCTGGTGTATTTCTTAAACTTTACTCTGTTGAACAAATAAACAACAAACAACACAGACAAAATTCCTGCTGCA